CGCTCTATCTCCTATAATGAGCATTTTACCCTGTTGATCAATTTTTGTGTGTGTGTGTGTGTGTGTGCACGCTCGCGTGTGTGTAGAGATACGAAAGGTATAACACCTAATGGCACGTAAATATTAGGTTGGTTCCTAAACAAATTTCGTTTTTGATTATCAACTTTATTCTTCAAGAAACAAAGTACACTGACAACAATGGCTTGTTGACAATTATCAGGCAGCTCTTCGATACCTTCTGAGTAGAGTTCCGCAGGTTTTGTTTCGAAAAAGGATTACGACGAACTCTTGAATCTGGTTTTCATTAGAGAAAGTTTCCCCCATCAAAGCGTTTCGTAGGGATCGTAAAATGTAATACTCAGTTGGTACAACAGACCAACCGAGTTTCAAAATGTATTCCCTGTGTTATAGCGATTTTCCAAGCGTAGCTCGGATTTGGCACAAGGCCGAAAGTATGGGGCACCCAGTGAGGATCGAACTCACTACTCAGTCGTAATTGTTCTAGCGAGACAAGCTTGCTAACCATTACACCACCTCGAGGTGCCCAATTCCCTGTGTTATATGTACTCTTGCTTTACCACAGAGGCTAGCAAATCAAAAGCACGTCAAAAATACCCGTTCTCGTTTAATCATCGAAGATAAACAGTGTCGATCGCAGTCAGTACTTCGATGTGGGACTGCTTGAAAACATCGGCTGTTGTAAGAAGCTTCCTATAATCCGAACCATGTTTGGCATCAAGTAACACAGGAAAGTTTGATAAGCAGTAAAAACAAATCAATGCCATAATTCACTGTATCCGTCGTCACTGCTGGGAAAACACTAAGTTATGTTAGGTTACTCCAAATTTATTAACTACCACATGTGATTAGCATTTATCATGATACATAGGCAATTACAATTGTTAACAAAAGACGTTAATCACTTACGACTCAATCTAACAAATGGACATCTGATAAGCTTTGCTCAGTCGAGAACATAAGCCTGAGGTTGTTTACGGTACCTGCTGTTCTGAAGAGGCGGCTCATCTAAGTACACCAAGAAGAATCTGCAATGTCATCGGTCCTGACCTAGCATCTCGGCTTCAGTGACTTTCCTATCGTCGTAACGTAGCTTGCCTGTGCTTTTTCTATCGATATTTCACGATAATTGTTATGATGTGTTTCCTCTTTGGTAGCTCGACTTTACGAATTTAAGCGCAATACTTGATTAGTAGAAAGGTTCTATCATTTTACAGTTGAAATGGCTAGATGTAATGGTAAGTTCTATGCTAACAGTTTTTTCTTTCGGACTTCTCGCTTGTGGAACTCTCTCCCGGCTTCTTGCTTTCCAGTCAACTTTGATGTTCAAAAATTTACATGCAATGTCAATTGTTATCTTTTGCTTTCTTAATTCCTGTTCTTTTTTTCTTAATAATGATTTTTTTCTTATTCTTTAACACTCAGTAACATCTTGCATCTTAGTGCCTATAGTGTCTGCTATATACCGTACCTATGAACACTAATGGGTATGCCTCAATCCTCATAAATACGTTGGACATTATTGTAAATGGGGGTAATATGGTGTCTAAGTAGTCTACCACTAGCAGTGGTTTACCTACTTCATGCCGCTGGCGAGTATTGTATTTTGTGGATGTTATAAAGATTACGATTTCATTTCCAACCTTCATTTTGGTTATTCCTCATTCAGTAACCTTTTTTAGATCACAAATGTGTCATGCTTAGGATGAAATGATTAGAAAAAAGCCTATCGTTACTTAAATTTGACGAACTACCTGGATTTATATAATTCTAATTGATGACATTACTTATGTAAGGAAGATGGGTTCATACCTTTATCCAATGGCATTAGCGGAATTTGAAATATATATCTATGTCTGTATATAAAATCTTTGACTAAACTACATTTTACAAAAGACCATGTTCATAATCGAGACCTGAAGAAAAAAGAAAGGAAGAAAATAAAATTTAAAAGAGGGAAGAATCGAAAAGAGAAAGTAGTAACATTGGCATTAAGAGAGCAAGAACCTTCTTAAGAACATAGCTTGTATTTCCTGCCCATGCTGAAGTCAGTGTTCAGAATTTAAGGAAAAGGCCAGAATTTAAAATACTGCCTTTTTCGGTAGACTGTATCTCTATCCCCAGTCATAATTTTCTCTTTGAGAAAAGTGCATAAGACCGGCAAACGATGTTCATTACATAAAGCAATACACGTTCTAAAAAAGCACAAAAAAGACAATGGGAAAAAGAAAAATAGAAAAAAAAAAAAGAAAAATGATAGAAGGATGTAAAAAAAAGTATCGTGAAAATTTTTTTTTTTTTGGTTGGCACAAAGAATTGTCCTTAGTGGACGGACGAGCGAACAGACGAACGGACGGACGGACGAGCGCAGTGCCTTGAGATTTAGAACAATCTGGTTACAATATTTCAAGCGAGGTTAAATGATAACTTGTAAGGCAGACAATACGATAGTCACATGTAGTCATTGTTTCCAGCTTAGGGTCAGTAATAGCACTTGCAGCATCCCCGACGACCGCTGCAACATTACTGATAAGAAAAGTCGGGTACCGTCATCATTGATTTTCTTGGCTGCCATAGACTGCATTCACCGACGATTTTATCCCCCTCCGTCACTAAATATGGGCGGAGCTGGGAATATGAAACAGTTAAGCATCGGTTCCACACC